ATTCGGGGCTGAATTTTGGGCATTCTCTTCCTCGTTATCCTATTATTCCTAAATTAAAATGGAGTTCACGTCCACATATTGAGGATTCTCTTCTTCCTCCTCCTCCTCCTCCTCCTCCTCAACAGCAGATGACCCCACAACCCGATACTGAATGTCTTCATCCTGTTCCTCCTGAGATAAATTGGAGTTCACGCCCAAATATTGAGTGTTCTCCTCCTCCTCCTCCTCTCCACCCTGAAATACAGAGAACTCAAATCCTAGATACTGAGCTTTCTTCTTATTCTCCTCCCCCTCTCTATCACGAAATACAGAGGACTGAAATCCTAGATACTGAGCGTTCTTTTCATTTTCCTCCTTCTCAACAGCAAGAAGTTCCCTCCCCCGATACTGAAATTCTTCCTCCTGTTCCTCCTAAAAGGCAATCAACTCCATGTCCAAATATTGAGTGCCCATTCCCTCTTCGACAGCAAAGAACTCCATGCGCCGATATTGAATGTTCTCTTCTCCATCCTCCTCAACAGCAGAGGATTCCACACCCCATTATTGAACTTTCTCCTCCTCCTCCTGAAATGCAAGAAGCTTCCGCGCCAACTAGCGAACATCTTCCTCCTTTTGTACTAGAATTACAACAACAACAACAACAACAACAACAACAACAACAACAGCAAAATCATCTCAAATCACAAGCAAAGATGGATGACACAGTCTTACGTTCTCCGGGAAATCCAAGAAATATACCCCTACCAGACATGTTGCATGATTTAGATCTAGAAGCACAAACGGCGCAGAGTCCTCCACACCCATATTTTGATAGCCCTCCCCTTGCTTCTACGGCCCCTCCTTCCTCTTCTTCTCCTTCTCCTCCTTCTCTTCCTCCGCCTTTTCTTCAACAGCAACATCAACAGCAATGTATGAAACTACAAGGAACTACGAATAATGTAATTCCACCACCTCCAGATAATTTAGGAAATGAAGCCCCAACAGCCATGGCACCTTATCCAGATCCAGAAGCACAAAGCCTACGAGAGACTCCACGACCAGATATCGATAGTTCTGTTAGGCGCCCGCAAAATAATATCGAATCACAAGAAACGATGAATGATGTAGTTCTACCTCCTCTAGAAAATCTATGGAACACGGCCTCGCCATTTTCATCTTCAGGAAATCCAAGAAGCTTAGCCCTGCTAGTTGTGTCGCATGATTCAGATCTTGAGATAAATATTCGGCAAGGAACTTCGCGCTCACATGCTGAAAATCCTCCTCTTGCTCTTTCTCCTCAAGAGCCACAGCAGCAGCAACCTCGTCTAGAACCACAACTCCATCTAGAACCACAACCTCATCCAGAAACATAAGCACAACCAAAATTAGACCAGTCTTATTCCCAAGAACATCGCCCAGCACCAAGCCATGCTCAAGCGCCACTATGCCCCCAGGAAAGAGCTCCTTCAGCGTATTCAAATGATACTCGTCCACCGATGAATATAGATGATTATTGCCAACCAATATATGCCAATGTCCCTCATTGCGCACTTCATTTCCAAGTGTCACCAGCCCAGCAGAAGCCTCATCTTCAATTTAGATATCCAGTCTACACTCCTGAACCACCAGGGCTCCCTCCTCCGCAAGTAACACAACAAGTTTCGAGGACTCCATCTCTCGATTCTCTCTCATTCAGTGGAGTTTCGAAGTCAGAGGGTTCGAGCAATCATTCCAACTCAAATCGCCGAATTTCACCAGGTCGGGAACGACCAGAAAGTAAGACCAGACAAGAAAAAAGAGAATCAGGGAAGAGCAGTTCTCTAGGTGACAAATTTTCACGCGCTCTGATCGACAGGATGGCTCGCCAGCCTGAGGTGGCGAGGGGCGTGGCATGGGAGAAGGCTCGCAACAGGAAAATTCACTCAAACGATAAAGATGAGAGGCATCTTCGGAGAGACAAACATTAATTTCTTGGGTATATGGTGTATGGAAAGTGCGGAAATGTCTTGCTGAGAGCACCGCATTCTGGAATATTTTTAACTTGGTACAAGGCTTAGATTTTCCTGTCATAAGCAAATGATCTGTGGGATTGCAGCATTTTTATACTCTACATATTCTTAAGACAGGCACCTCGCTGTGTCGATACCGCACTTAAATTCGAGTTGTCTATTGCCACATTTTTCTTCTTTCGTGGCTTTGATGGGCTTTATTGTGAGGAATTGACGAAGTATTATATGGTTTTCTGGGTGGGATTTAATGATAGTTTTGTATCATATCTTCAAAGAGGAATAATTATTCATATTCTATTTTCAGTAGGTTTTGCTAGTAGTGATTATACGAATATTTGAGACCGTGAATGTTTGGTTCATTTATTATACTTCTCATCTGTGGATGCTGTTGTTCTTGTGATTGTTCTCAGATATTTTGTTGCTTCAAAATTATAATTCATTGCTACTCTCAGTAGGTCCTCATGCGTTTCACTCATTTGAATTTTATGTTTCGCAGTCATGTAGTCGCTATGTCATATTTATTGGCCATTTAAGTTCAATTCGACGCCTTTTCGGTCACTTCAGTTGCCTTTCACAATCATTCCATCATGTTTTCAGTCATTTCTTCTCAATAAAGAATCATATATTCTCATAGATATTGCATATGTGACAATTCATACCTCATACTCTTGAATCATCATATCCTTGGGATTCCTGATCTAAGGTAAGAAAGTAATATTTAAGCACTACGTTTCCCCATTTCATGGACTTTCTTTCTTTACATCTACAACAAAAATTTATCTCTCAATATCAATAACACACAATACTCAAGCCTCCTATTATCAAAAACAGAAACAACTTTGATCATGCATTCTGGTAATAGCCAGCAGGCTGCTCCTAATAATACAGGTGCGCAGGCTCGAGAGCAAAGACCTCAAGTTCAACATTCATTTCCACCATTATCTCATCCTTATAATGAAGATCGACGACATGACTCTCATGTGGGAGAGACGGCACCACTACTAACCTTTGGCCCTCTACCACCCTATATGCCAGCACAACAACAATCATCTCAGCAAATGAATGGTCTTCAAAATTACTACACTCATCCACAACAGCAGCCTCAAATGAATCAAAGATCAAATGCTTCGGGAAAAAACGTCGCTTATTATGATCCGAGAACTAAACTCTATTACACTGCGGTGGGCACACTTTGGAGTTCAATTGAACGCATCAGCATCATCGGAGAAGTACCAGAAACTTCACAACCAGCCAAGCAACCATCCCGTTCATCGGTACCTAAGGAGAAGGAGGGGGAGAGGCTGTCCAAACGGCCCGCAGGTCGGGATGACGACCAGCCTCGTAAAAAGCCTAAAATTGCCTAAAACGCTACTTGAATTCAATGTATAGAACCTTCAGGGCTGTCTCTTGGTAACAGTTCCACTCTAGGAAGATCGAACATGTTGTGGAAAAAATGCTAATTCTAGATAGTTACGTATTAGTCACGGCAGGTGATGCTTCGTTGTGTCAGCAGTGGTAAAGACTGGGTTTATCTGATATTTTCCTTTCTTTTCATATTATTGGTTATTGTCGTGAGTGAAGGTTAATATGTTTCGTGGTTTTAGGTGGGAGTCAATTGTGGAAGTTATGGTGGCTTGATTTGCATTTGGGAGGAAATCTAATTGTCTGGATTTTATATGGATATAGAAAATATATTCCATTTTACTCTATGTGTCTAGTGTTGCAGTTGAGCCTAAATTTATGTCCGTAAATGTGAAGTAGTCATGTTGGAAGCAAAGCAGTCAGATTCCACCACTATCAAGCCATTCACAGTAAATTCACATTAAAAGTCGCTAATCTCGCCATATTCATTATAGGAATGACTGATCATGGTCATAAATGACTCGATTAAGCAGCCAAAAGTCCCATTCACCTAACCATTTCTACCGAGCCATAGTGAATTCACTTCTCAGACATCACTGCCTTGGAATCAGCCCATGTTGAGTTCCACGGTCAGCAATCACCTAGATGAACAGTCAAAATTGGATCTTACAGAGTCGTTCTTGCTCATATCCACAGGAATCATGAACGATATGTGTATTATTTAGAGCATATTCGACTTTAATATCAAAGCTTATTCTTAATACACAAGCATGCATCTCTAAGGACTCCTAATAGGTTCTTTTTCGTCTCCTAGGTCGTCCAAAATATGCCCGCAGAAGCTGGCTTTTGCTCCTTCCTCACTTTATTTTCCCCTGCCAACTAAAGTAATGAGTGAGAAACACTCAATAAAACATTTTAAAACCTTCAATAACAGCATCACCAAAAATTTCTTTCTCTTCATTAATCAAATAATTTTCTCTAAAATCACAAAATAACTTCATCATGTCTAGAAGACGGTCAGCTCGTTTAAACGCACTCGCTTTTACCACCACCGAGCAATCATCGAAAATTGCACCGACTTCTCCTGAAGCAAAAACTGCCAAGATCATTTTGAACAAAGTATGCACACCCCAATATCAGTACCCAGCAATCATAGACCCCGACACAAACAAGTCTTCCTTTTCCGAAAGTAGTGACGACTTAGGATCCGACCTAAGCCCCCTAAGTGGCAGCGAAAGTCCTAAAAATACAACATCCGACCAGAAAGCCCCAGCGGCCCCCGAACGCCGAGAGAGATACCAGGTCCTGATACTCCCTCCATGTGATATCGAAGCACTTTCCGAGGAGGATTCCCCCTCCACCACATATACTACCGCATCACAACAACTCATCATGTGGGCAGCCCATCTCTGGTACCAAAAACACGGAAATGTTATTCTCCCCTCTGTGAGAATCAAACATGATTATAAGAGAGAAGAGTGCAAAAATGGATGTGTAGGGGTTTTTCACTGCTGGGGTTGTAAGAAAGGTTGGATCGCTGCGCATGCTTGGGTAGATGTTTATTGTGATGGTGCTTGTGAGACTTGTCCTGAAGTTAGTGGATTGAATGCTCCTACTACTGTGCCTAGATTTATATCTGGGGGTTCTCCGACTGATCGTGGTCATTGTTATGAATGTGAAAAAAAGGAGAAGGTGGATATTTTGTAGCTGGGAGGGGAAGTGTTTTTATAGTTGGAGAAGGGTAGGGAAATTCACTTATGAGGACGACTGTTCTTAAGTAAGCTTTCTAATTCCCAGGTAACATGTATGTCTGGCTAATATTCATACAGAAATGTCTGCTTGCAAGATGTTTGGAGGATTGGCGTTGAGATGACAGAAAGTTGTTTCCTGATATACGTAGCAAGAAGTGCCAAAGGCATGATGGGCGAGGAATCAACAGTGATGGTATTAATAAAGTCCTAGACCATACTACCTTTTGTCCTTGAACTCTCTAGATTCATGCTCAATGTCACTATTCAATTTATCTCCTTTGTCTCTCCTTTGTCTCTCCTTGCTTTAGTGGTAATTCACTTCATCTATACTGGTTCAATCTCTGATACTTGCCACTTACTTGATATATGAGATTAAGAATTACAACACTCACTTCATCACACAACATCAAAGATTCCCGAGTTGTATTCATCCACCCTGGGGAAACTCTGCCCGCAAGTCTGTCTACTCACGCAGTGGTTTATAATGACAAGTTATTATGCAGCAATACTTCAATAGTTAACTTACTAAAACAAAATTGTCACAAACAGTATGACGTAGAATCTGGAAGGGATGCTCCAAATACAATATCATGTTAAATATAAAAAATCATGACTCTACAAATTTTATCGTAAAATCATGATTAAAAACTCCAGTCATTATACGTACTTTATAGAGTCATGGATATTATATCCCAAGGTTATATATAGCGGTTTCTTCTCCCCTTTTTCCTTGAGAGAACATCGATAGCATGATTATATTTATATTTATATATACAACTCAAATAATCCACTTTGAAGAAAACGCTTCTTGCAAACCTAAGAAATATATATATATATGTACCTTCAACCTCCACACTAACACAATTTACATCATGGGCAATAACAATAACAACAAGGAAACCCCTACCAACTCAGGTAAGACTTACTACCAATACCCTTACAAAAACTTTAAATAGCTAATCCACTAGCCGATGCAAAAGCCCCAGTAATCCATACCAAGCTCCCCAAAATCCGCGATCGTCGTCCCTCCAAACAATCATCCTCCTCTTCCTCCACCTCTATCTCTACCTCCACCTCCACCTCTACCTCCACCTCCACCTCTACTTCCAAAAAACCCCTTTCCCTCCGACAACCAAGCACCCAAGACGTGCGAAAAGGGTTGTAAAATGATCGTTACGCGATGTTTTGATTGTAAACGATTCTTAGATAACGATCTACTAATCGCCTTTGATTGTCTTGATTGCAAGAAGGAAGGATCGGGTACTGGGAAGACGACTCCTGCTTCTGTTAGCGAGTATAGGAGTTGGGGTTGTGGAGTTTGTCTTCCTTGAGATGGTGGAAATGCTTAGTGATGGTGTTGATGCTGATGCTGATGTTGAAGGGTGATTGAGATGGATTATGGTGTAGCAACAGATCACTAGGGATGTAATGGCGAGTTTATATTAATGAAGGGTTTTGAGGTAGTTTGGAAAGTTTTTGGTGCATCGTTTTACTGTCGAAACATTGATATTATGAATCTTAGGGTATTTGGCATTGGATATTTGCGCGGTTGAGGAAATGTGGGACTACCAACGAATCATAATCAAACTTGTAGATTCAGCACACTCCTTCCACATTTCTATCATTAATATTATTAATATAATTTGGGATTTTAATATCTTTTATATATACGCGAATGAGGTGACTTCAATCACTGTGATTGAGATGTATATGGTCAAAATATCCAAAATGAATGATGATTGATAATTACTCCTATATTTGGCGATGCCTCGAGCTTGTGCCGGTGTCATGACTTCAGCGATTAAAGAGATGACGCACAGATATGGGCCCATGAGAGAAATATTATAATATGGAAATCGCTCATAACGAGCTCGACTCATATACCCATAAAGCAACAGTCAATGTGCTGCTAAAAAGAGTCATGCGAAGTATCCCAAGATATCCACAAAATGGAACGAATAGACACTCAAACCAATATCTTCCTCAAGAAAGCATAACATTCAACTTCAACTTCAAATCCGCACAACTGCAAAGACGTGCCACAAACACCAAATACAATTTCAATAAAGGAAAGCACTAGCTCAAGCACAACATCCCGCATCTATCATAAGATTGAATAATCATGACACAATTCCTCACACACATCCAAATCTCGTTGCTGATCTTGACGAAGACGGCCATACCCATTCCGCCCAGCAAAGCTCAGCATCTCAAAGCTCACAGCAAACACCTCTTCCCCTCTCGCTCCCGATCCCAATTCCACCATGCAACCACAACTACCTCCACCTGCTAAATAGCCCGGCTAGCTTTGGCTGGTCGCTGGCTTCTTAGAGGGACTATCGCGCTACAAGCCGATGGAAGTTTGAGGCAATAACAGGTCTGTGA